AGGGTAGCCCTCTTAGAACTTCGTGGGTGTACCGTTGAAAGGTTTGTCCTGCGTTCTTGAGACCTGGGCACATTCGAGGAAATTCGAACAATCCCATCGGTGTGATGATGGCTGTCTTCTCAATGTCCTCGTCACGAACTGGGACTTGTTGGTATGCGCGGTTGAGGTCTATGGTGCTGAAGATTGTTTTTCCGGCGAGCTGGTGTGTAAAATCTCTGATCCTTGGTATTGGGTAGCGATCGGGCTTTGTGATTGTGTTCAGGCGTCTGTAATCTCCACAAACACGTAGATCACCATTTTTCTTGGGTACGATGTGGAGTGGGCTTGCCCAAGGGCTTTTGCTTGGTCTGCATAGGCCTTGGCTGATCATGTTTTCGAACTCCGTTTTGACTTGATCGTAGCGGTGTGGTGGTATGGGTCGGGCGCGGCAGTGGATCGGTGGGCCTGTTGTTTCTATGAAGTGTTCCACTCTGAGCTTGGGGTTGAGTTTCATCGAAGTAAGGCGGGTGATGCCGGGATATTCTGCCAGTATTCCATGGTAAGATTGCTGGATGTCGATACTGCGAACTGTAGGCATGTCGGTGTAGCGTCCTATTGCGTTGGTACCGAGCTTTGTCGTGTTGTCTATGAGTCTTCGGTTCTTCAGATCAACTAGCAGATTGTGGTGTTTTAGGAAATCTGCGCCGATTATGGGTTTGCTGACATCCGCCACGATGAAACGCCATTTGTATTGCCTGCGTAGATTGAGGTCCAATATTAATGTTTTTTCGCCGTAGGTAGGTATTATCGTGTTATTGGCTGCATACAAAATGAACGGTAGTGGCTTTGCTGCGGTTCCTTTTCGCTTCGGCAGGACGGAGATATTAGCGCCAGTGTCGACCAAAAACGATAATCTTGAGCTTTTGTCAGTAACGAAGAGGCGGTATGATTTGATTCCGACGCCGTTGGGTTCTGCCTCTGCCAACGTGTTATTTAGTTTTGCGGCGTTTCGTGGTTGATGAAATTGCAGGGCGTTGTGCATCGTCTTGTATCGGCTGTACGAGTAGTGTCTTCGGGATGCTCGGAGGTCTGCGATTTCTAGCTTTAGTGTCCTTATTGCGTCTGCCAGGAATTGCAATTGTGTTTCTGGTTCTTCGTTTTCCATTTTTCCTTGTGTTCTTGTTCGGGGTCACCACTTTAGCGATTGTAGGTTTCGGTAAATTAAACTCTCGATGGTCAGTTGATGAATCTCCTTATTTTGGAAAACATGTTATATTTATATAAAATTTTACATTATTTAATCGATGATAATTGGGTAGTTTCATAATAATTTATATGAGTGATGTGCGAGCGGGAGAGGTAGGTTTGCGCCTTTCGCTCGCACCCGGCGCGAGGAATGCGGCGCGCGGGGAAGCGTGCGCGTCGCTCGACAAAACCGCCGTCCGCGGCGGCACTCGTCCATTTCGTCGGGCGACACCTACGGTGTAGACGTGTGGAGTCCTCTTCGATGCGCGGCGAGCGGGCGGCGTGCCGCGTGCCGCGGCGACTGCTTGAAGAGATGCGGTGATCGTGAAGCTGCAGTGATAGCCGAGAGTGAAACGTTGTTTCGCACGAAAGCTCTTTTCAGAGCTATGTAATCAAAGAATTATTCAGCATCACTATTTCCTGGACGGTGTTTCGTCATTTGAAATAAAAGGATTAACTTCTGTGTTGTGTTGTTATTGTGTGCTGCTACACTTATGTTGAGATTGGTATGGGTGGTACACCCAATTAATTTTAGTAATACCTAGTGTATAACTGTCCTATGTTCCCAATTGTTAAAAATAAATCATCCCTATTGTCCTAAAAGCGATTTTTTTAACATTGGCAAACTTTATTTTTTCAGAAACGTCAACTGTGCACGGTTGTTTTGTCTACAATTTTACTAAAGTACTTTTTAAATCTAAGTTGTTATTACGAGTAGGTATTTGAAAATTGAATCGTAGATACTTACCTATCTTTTACGCTACGCATGCACCTATTAATATGCAAATGATACTATAAAAGATTTATTATTTGTTTGTAGGAAGGTGTCCAGATGTACGTCTGTCTGTTCGTTCATGATTGATGGAAACGTCAGATTAAGATCAAAATCCTTTTAAGTAATAGCGCTGACCGTACGAAATCGTTTATGTAAATTGTAAATACCTTAATAGTTAAGTATTGTATCTCCTACTTACAACTTTATTACTTTTAAGACATTTGATATATATTTGTTTATGATACTTACTTAATTGCCTTTTGGAACTAGTAAATAAGACTCAAGACTTAGGCCCGTATTACAGAATGACAACTAAGTGTTGATCTTTACTTGAGTACAGTTAGAAAGGGATGTCGCTATGTGCTATATATAGCGACATCCCATTCTAACTATGCTCAAGACTAGACCAATCACTGAGAATCTTTCTATAATACGGGCCTTAGACTCACACAAGTCTAAAACGGAACTATTTTAGACTTGTGTGAGTCGAAACACCAGAATTCAGATTATGAATTCAGAGTAACGAGATAATAATAATTGAGTAATAATAAAAGTAATAATTAATTATTTTAAATCATTTACGAGTAACTAAGGCTGCACTGACAGGCTCCTATCAAATTTGATTAGGAAGGGAGGGCAACTCGAGCAGTGGAGGCTGTAAAGGTGAGCGTCGATGCGCATCTCAAAGTGTCGCCGCACACGGGCCACCGACCACAACCACAAAACGTAGCCGCCGGCATATTTCTTTTGTTTTCATACATTTTATATGGACTCGCCACACACGATACGCTGCGCAGAGCCGGTGGCCGCCACACGCTACAAATCGTCGTTGCTCGCTTCTTGTGGCCCGCACCGGCCACTTAATGCGCCGATACAAAACGCCGCCACACGTCACTCGCGCGATTCCCCACCCCTCTCTCCCTTACCTTAGTGGTCGCGCACTTCAGCTACTTTAGTAGCCGCTTCTAGCTTCTCCTGGCGTGGCGTTTGTGGCTGTGGCGTGTGTGTGGCTCGTGTGCGGCGACACTAAGGGGGCCTCCTTAAACCTACACCTGGGTCGCAAGTCCCGGGAACTGCTCAGAGTTTCTCTCTCTCCCACACGATGGACCCGGCACCCGTACGGTGTATCTATGGATTGCTAAGAAGTTCGTATCTCTCTATGCTGGACTGGGAGATGAAGTACCCAAACCGAAAGCCACAGCCAGCTGATAACTTTATCGTGCAGATCGGCAATAGAATATTTATCAGCGAAAAGCGCATATTAGGTTACTATTGTAGCCGATAAGTTAGTAACCTTTTTGCAGGCCGGCAAGATGAGGATGGTTGGTGTAGCAGTTTATATCTGCTGTACCAGCTATCTTCGCGTTTGAACTTTATCACCACTTAACATCAGGTGGGTTAGAGTCATTTGCCAACATGGCTATATAAGAAAAAACCTCCTCAAAGAGGTATTGCAGCAGATATTCAGCTCCAAGCGAGGAAATGAGTTAGGAAATGACCTCTGCCTTATAAAAGAACGCAGTAAATCACATCCTTTTGGTGGTGTTGTGTTTCTGTCGGTGAGTAAGGTTTCAGGGCTCCACGGGGTAGGGGATAACGTTAACTGTTGACAATGCACGAGTACTCCGGTATCGCAACTTCACAAGCGTCAACAAGTATATATTTGGGCTATGATAGCATTCTAAAGGCTATTATATATCAAAATATCTATTATATAATAACAATCTTTATATATAGCTAGTTTGTTGACCGCAAATCAACGCGGCATTGGTCATTGTCGTGGATATAATGCATTTTTTCTCCCCGTCATCGAAAAAAAAGGTAGGCAAATAACTCTACCCCACCTGATGTTAAGTGGTAATAAAGTCCAAACGCGAAGATAGCTGGTACAGCAGTTACATATTGCTACACCAATCTCACATAAAGGTTTCACTCACTTTAAGACTTGGAATAATATTATAGCGAGTCACCCTTAAAAAGTAGACGTAAAACTGCGAACTTTTAAAAGAAATTTTTGGGAAACAATCGTCATACATGCAACATGCATGATGTTTGTGCAACTTAAACCGTCGCCGTTGACGCAACGCACGCAACGGAAGTTCTCAAATGGAATAATTTTTCCCCGTTTTTGCAAGATTTTTTATTGATGCTCTGCTCCTATTGGCCGTAGCGTCATGTTATATATAGCCTTTAGCCTTCCTCATAGTCGATAGAATTATGGATCAACCAACACACAAACACACAGGTGCCAATACATTTTTTTAAAGTGAAACTTCTTTAGGCATGCTTGACTTGGGGGGTAAACTGGCGAATGTGTTACAATTTCGCGTTACGATTAGTGTCATCGGTGACTCATCAACAATGAACAATACCCGTCACAAAATACATGAATCTAGTGCTTGGTGGGTGATAACGGACCCAGCGCGGATTGGGGGGTGTTAACGGACCCAGCGCGGATTGGGGGGTGTTAACGTACCCAGTGCGGATAGGGGGGTGTTAACGGACCCAGCGCGGATTGGTGGGTGATAACTGACCCAGTGCGGATTGGGGGGTGTTAACGGACCCAGTGCGGATTGGGGGGGTGATAACGGACCCATTGCGGATTGGGGGGTGTTAACGGATCCAGCGCGGATTGGGGGTGCTAACGAACCCAGCGCGGATTGGTGGGTGATAACTGACCCAGCGCGGATTGGGGGGTGTTAACGGACCCAGTGCGAATTGGGGGGTGTTAACGGACCCAGTGCGGATTGGGGGGTGATAACGGACCCAGTGCGTATTGGGGGGTGTTAACGGATCCAGCGCGGATTGGTGTTTTTTTTTTCTATCAACAAATCTTCAGGTTAAGTTTATGATTTTCAGATCAGGAGATAAAGAAGTTTCAGTTCAGTCGTGTAAGCAGCCTCGCTTTTTTTTCATATTGAACCGGTACTATCTCTGATTATCATTTTCAAATAAAAACTCGAACTCTCTAGCTGTAAAATATTAAGCATAGATTCATTACCTGTATCATCAACATAGCAGGGCAACAAGACAGTCTCATTTTCGTAGGTTTTGACCGTCACTGGAACACTTTTAAACGAATTCTCACTATTAGTTTTGTGTATTGAAAATAACACCAACACGTTTATGAAACTTCTCATTGTATCCATTGTGTTTATCCACTTATTAAAAAAGTTAATTAAAATTTTGATTAAATATCTAAACTTATCTTTTAAAAAATAAAACTTATGACAGAACTGAAAAATCCAATAACAAGTTAAAATGTTAAAAGCCCGCCTAAATGCTGTAGGTCTACAAAGAGGTGACAAAAAGAAACCAAAGTTTTTTTTTATTGATTTTATCAAAAAAGTCAGCTGCGGGCATCCCGGATTCACGGTCTGCCTCCTATCTTTTTACGGAGTGCATTATAATTAAAGAGCTTGTTGTACATTAATTAACTTTTTGCCAAAACAAATCCTTTCGGACACCAGAGTACCAAGTCTTTTTTTTTATAGCGAGGTAGGCAAATGACTCTACCCCACCCGATGTTAAGTGGTGATTAATTTATATTTACCTACTTTATTAAACAATTTCCTAATATACTTGAAGTGTAATATTTTTCCTTAATTGGATATGAAAAAAAACATTACGATAAAGTTTCTGTTGAACTTTTGAAAACATTAGTAAAAGTTCCTCGGCTGGAATTCAAACCAGGGTCGCGCGCGTAGCAGACGAGCTTTCTGCCACTGAAACACCGCGTGCTTGCTGATAAAGTCTGATTTCTTTAATAACAATAAAAACTTTAATGCGATATGCTAAAGATAAACGAAAAAAAACGAAAAAAGTTTCACTTTAAAAACTATCTCAAAAATGTATACTCATTATTGAGATAGTTTTTGTTTTGAAAAACTCATTTAATCTATTTTTATACAGCTGTTTAAAAACTTTTTTTATTAAATTTAAAGTACCTTCTGAAGCTCACTACCTATACAAAAAATTTAATAGTTATAATTTGTCACCTCTTTATCAAACCTTTTTATTGGTTTTATCTACGAACACTGTCACTAATCGAAAATATTGAACGGCACAAACTTTTGATCTCGTAAGCTATTTAAGCGCGCGCGCGCATTGGCGGGAAACTGGACTCGGACTGTCATTGCCTGTGCGCATGCGTAGACGTCGCATCCACAATGATTAACCTTAACCTTGGTGTACACTGGGAGAACTCACCCTCGAAAAAAATCGAACCAAAAAATATTTATACTCAAACATGTTTGGAAAGTTGAGCATAATTTTGACATCCTTCTTTGAGCTAATTCGAAATTGCTGTACTGGCCATTTATATGCGAGCAGCGGCCGGCAAAAGTTGTATGAAAATCCATGTCTGTCGTGTTTTAGCGTCCAAATAAATTACAAAGTAAACTCATATCTGTCGTGTAATTTAAAATGGAACGATCTTTTACTGTGAAAAATGGCAACCAAGGAGATAACTTGTCAAAAGTGCCCGATTTCGAGTAAGTGTGCACCCGGATTCGGGCTAACGACCAATTACGACATTACTAAAGAGCAAATTTCATATCCATAAATGTTTTTCAGGGCAGGTATATCTTAATGTTAATGGTGTTGTAATAAAGCATATAGCTCCGTGACTTTCACTGCCATCTGTCAAAAACTGTGAGCAAATAGGTCTACTGGAATAAACACGAATCTTTCAATTTAGTTTAAGACTTAAAACCCAGTTCAATTCAAGTATACAAGTATGAATAGGTACTAGGACATGAATGTGTGTGATGAATACTAGTGTTTCTACTCCAGTCATAAATATCTCATATGTATTTCTATATAAATATACTTATGTATGTACAGTATATGTATTCTATCCGTTACCCTAGTATCCCATAACACAAGCCTTACAGTAGTTACTTTGGGGCTAGGCTAATTGGTGTGTGTTGGAAATATTTATTTATTTTAATCCAAATTAGAATGAGATAGTTGCAGCAGTAAAAGTCCATCGTTACAATAAAGTTTATCTGTAGCGCGCTCGATGTACCCCAGCATTATAGCTGTCGTCTTAATTAATTGTATCACCTTTAATTTAGTCCAAGAAAGACATCGGGCTAATAGAAAGGCTTAAGTAGTTGGAATGTGCCGTATAACTTTGACAGGATTCTTTCAAAATAGTGATTGTTTCAATTATTCATTCTTGACAGCTATACAGACTGTTCAGAGCTGGTTTTAGTTAGGAAACTATATTTTCTATTCAGTCGTCGTTTCTGTAATAAACAACTTGATCTCCATCTCAGGATAAGATTGGTTCACGGTTACATCTGGCCAATAATTTTTTTTTTGGTTGTGAGGCGTGGACCATTAATGAGAAAATACACCAAAAGCTGGAGGTCCCTTGAGATGTTGTTTTACCGACGTATGCTGTGGATAAGCTGGTTTCAGAGAGTAACAAATGAGGGGGTATTCAGACGTGTAAATAAACCCGGACAACTCATGAAGAACATCAAGTGAAGAAAGGTAGACTTTCTTGGTCATATTTTCAGACATGAGCGTTATCATTTTTTCCAGACTATAATGATGGGAAAGATAAAGGGGAAAGGATGAGTCGGAAGAAGGAAGAAGTCTTGGCTCCGAAACATCAGAGAGTGGACTGTTGTCGCCAGCGTGGAAGACCTGTTTCGTCTGGCACGAGACAAAGACAAATACGTAGAGCTGACGGTTAACTTCCAGCAGTGGAGAGGCACTATAAGACGAAGCGGAGTCGTTTTAGAGGTTCCATACCTCAAAAGGAAAAAAACGGAATGCTTAAAGGATCATTTTGTTGTAGGTCTATATTTGTTTGTTAATACCGGGAACGCGTGGAGGTGTCAAGTTAAAATTTAAACCCTAAAGTCAAGTCCACGCGGACGTGGTCTGTTGATGTTGTGAAAAATCCACACTTCTAAAGTTAACAAATATATATAAAAACTAGCGGCCCGCCCTCGCTTCGCTTCGGTGTAGAGCTGAAGTGTAGACTACAGTTTTTGTTCTCAGGCTTGTATTATACACAATGACATTCATCTATGATTCCTCTTATACCTGCATGCAAAGTCTCAGCCCCATCGGTTTAAAATTGACAAAGTTTCATACAAACTTTCATTCCCTATTTTATCCCCTTGGGGGTAGAATTGATCAAAATTCTTTCTTAGCGGATGCCTACGTCATAACATCTACCTGCATGCCAAATTTCAGCCCGATCCGACCAGTGGTTTGGGCTGTGGGATAGATCACTATGTCAGTCAGTCAGACCTTTGAGTTTTATATACATATATAGATATGCAGTCGTTTATGTTGCGCACCTACAATTTGTACGGAACCTTCGGTGGCAAAGTCCGAGTCGCGCTTGTCTGGTTTATTTTACTAAAGAAGTTTTTAGAGGTAGTCTTTTATTCAGTAACTTTTAAGCTAGAATCGCAGTTAAGGTGAAAACTTAAGGGATAAACCAGAGCTGTAACTAGCGTTGCCATCTCTAAAAATCAGAACATTATACTTACCCACCAAAAAAGCCGGACTTTTGGGTCCCACGGCCAGCGGGACGCCAAAAGATATATTTTTTGATCAAAAATTCCAACAAAAGTATTGTATGTATTAGTACTGCATGTATATTAGAAGAAAGTTTTAATTGGTATTATCATTTTCATTTGCATACTTATCTTTAATCGTCTGGACGACAGGTGAACTCGGGTACAGTAAAGAGTGCGGCTTGCTTGCGTCAAAAAAAAGCATAACAAATGCCAGACGCAGTCAAATTGGCCCAGACAAGAGACCGAAAAACCTAACACTGTCCATATTTATTTCTTAGGTTTTCACGCACATCACTCATTAAATAAAACTAGTTTTTAACGCGTTAATGCACGAAACTTTATTTATTCTTTGACGTTTAAAAAAAATTGATTCCGATGAAGCAGCCTGTAAAGGCTGCGAAACGTCAATAAATAAATAAAATTTCGTGCATTAACCCGGGAAAAACTAGTTTTATCTAACACTGTCCGGCCTATCCGGATGGAAGGCAACGCTAGCTGTAGCTACTATAATGTCCGTTGAGTTACAGCCTCCTGGTTTGGGTAAACTCTTTGTTCATGTAATGCCTACGGCTGGCAGTTATATTAAAAAGGTAATGTCATGAATTTAAAAAAATTGAAATTGGGAATCTTCTGTCGTTTGATAGAAGATTCCAGCAGATAGACTTCAGGCACCAAACCATACGTTGATAGATTAAGCTCAATTATTATATTCGCCTGATTTCTAATATAACAAAATTTAAAATGAAAGTTGTTTCAATTATTATTGCTACGCTCCCAGGGCCTACCCCTTCAGGTTCGCCGCACTACCTAAGATTAACCATAATGGATATATACATAATGGATATATACAATAATAATAGATAATAAAATAAAGAAAACTAGGGGTCTAACGGATTTCCTACTCGAATTGGAACGCCTGTCTAAGAAGTCACATCCGCCATAAGTTACCATACTATTACCAGCACCACATATTATTGGTCCATGTCACAATGGAAGAAAATAGCTTATCATTTGTTTGGTAGTGTTGTGTTTCTGCTGTTGAGTTTAGTCCAAGATTTTTAGATGTCCGCTCTGCATAAAATCCTTCTACGTTTGGATTATGTCGGAGGGTGTCCCCCAAGTATAAAACCGAGTTTCTGTCGCCCGAAACTGCGAGCGTTAGCCGCCATCTTGGAAACCGTTTTTTTGCATATATCTCGGAAACGGTAAGTTTACGTTAAAAACCGAAGAGATCTTTTTTGTAGAGAACAAAATTTCCCATCTTTTTTATACCAAACTTTTCCCCCTATTGTTGATATTTTCCGATATATTGAAGTAAAAAAACCAAATTTTTTGTTTTTGTAAAGTAACTCAATAATTTTTGGAGATACGAAAAAAATGTTTGAATTAAAGTTGTAGAGCATGAAATTTTCTACAAATTTAGTATAAAACTTTTTCAACTCAACTCCGGCCGCGGACGACAGCGACGAGGAGGATACACCGAATGAATCTCTCATACATTCTTCTGATGCAGGTAACATGGACTTGGAAGAAGAAAATTCGCAAACCTTCCAAAATCGCCCTTCCGGTTGTAAACAGCGAAAAATTTTATAAATCTAACATCGAAAAAATAAAAAAATAAAATTTATCAAATACAATTTATTAAATTAATATTCTGCGATCCTGATTTGTAAACAGCGACTTATATCGCGCAACTCTGAAAATTATTGAGATACTTTACAAAAACAAAAAATTTGGTTTTTTTACTTCAATATATCGGAAAATATCAACAATAGGGGGAAAAGTTTGGTATAAAAAAGATGGGAAATTTTGTTCTCTACAAAAAAGATCTCTTCGGTTTTTAACGTAAAACTTACCGTTTCGAGATATATGCAAAAAAACGGTTTCCAAGATGGCGGCTAACGCTCGCGGTTTCGGGCGACAGAAACTCGGTTTTATACTTAGGGGGCACCCTCTGATATAATCCAATCAAAAAATCACGTAGAAGGATTTTATGCAGAGCGGACCGATTTTTGGTGCTAAAATTCCTGGACTATTGCAGTTTCGTCTTTATTTAAAACCTATATAACTTCTTTTCGAATAAAAAAGAAACAAACGGGGTACATTTGACCACTTTGGAAGTGTTGCTCGCGCAAACTAATCAGTTTAGAAAAAAAATATATTTAAATCCTCAATATCATTTTTTGAAGACCTTTCAGTAGATAGAACACGTATGTATGGGTTTGATGAAAAATTTTTTTTTTGAGTTTCAGTTCTAAGTATACATACCCCTAAAATTTATTATAGTTTTTCTATTTTTGTGTGAAAATCTTAATGCGGTTCACAGAATACATCTACTTACCAAGTCTCAACAGTATAGTTCTTATAGTTTCGGCTATTGAAAAAAGTGGCTGTGACATACGGACGGACAGACACACATGACGAATCCATAAGGGTTCCGTATTTTGCCATTTGGCTACGGAATCCTAAAAAATACCATAAGCGGAGGGAAGTACTATGATAATTTTTCTATAAAAACTACCGTAGGAAATTACCATGGATAGGAGAAAAATACCAGGTGCGGTAAAACAACCACAAGAGATTACCGTAAGAAAGTACAATAGTGGGAGAAAACTACCTTTGAAAACAATAATTGTAGGTGGAAGGAATAAGCTATAAAAACAAAATCTTGCCGCGACTAAAACTTTCCACCAAAATGGTGTATTAGTAGCCCTATCTGGCAACACTGTCGGGACGGTTTTTTTTTTGTTTGC